AGTCATTTAAACAAGGCCTGAAAAGATGAATAAATGAAAACAAAAAGCAGAAGCCCCGCTCCACTTCTATAAATGCCCCCAGGCAGCACTGAATAGTAGGCATTGAAGCTCAAAGTGATCAAACTGTAAAGTTTGAGGTAATTGTGAATCCCAGAAGCAAATTGTTTATTTTTTAACTTTGCTCCACTAAGTGACAAACAAAACTACAAATCTGTACTCTGAATACCTGCTGTACTTTCAGGCAGGACACAAAGTCAGCCCTGTTAATCTTTTTTTTAATCTAAAGAGCCATGTGGTAAAAATAATAATCGTCCTACCAAGTCTCAAAGTCTCCAATGCTGGGCTCAAGAGGAACACCTGAGGACAGCAGCTTCTCTCCGTGGGACAAAAGAGCATACAGCAAGGACAGTCCAAACTTAAAAAAAAAAAAAAAAACATGTACAGGAAAAAATTTTAAAAACAAAACATGAGAACTGCACAAGACACTTTACACCTCCGTCGACAAATTATACAGCAATCCATTGTAATGGCCAGGACAAGCAAAGACCTTGTAAAACATTTGACCTTTGATCAAGTTTTATTACATTATCTTGAGCAGATCAGAAGTTATGTGTGGAAGTAGTGAAATTTTTGCAGACGTACGAAGACGTACTATAATTCAGCCATTGACGAGTGTATAAAAATAAAATATAAAGGGACTGAATAAAAGTTCAACAGTTCAGGGCACCAACCTTGTTCTGACACGCCAGCGAGAGGCACTCATATGTTGACAGCGATTCTGAAGAAGTCAGATCTTTGAGGACAACGATGAGCTGACTGAACGTCAGGCTGGTGATCACGTTTCGGAGAGGTGGGTAGAGGACGGGAAGGGCCTAAACATGATGCAGGAATAAAGATTAAACAAAACCATTGAGCTGTTAATTTAGGTGAATAAAACTTGATCCGACAGCTTCTTAAAGATAAAAAAGGCAGCTTTTCTGAGAAGTTAGTTTCATCTGTCCATGCGGTATTCAGAACATGAATAGAGAACTTTATAAACAATGATTCAAAGTAAAATCACTGTAGAAATGAAGTTACTTCGACTGCACAGTTCATTTTGGTTAAGGTTTTTAGAGTAGAAACAGCAACTTACACCTGACCTACCTCCTCTGTGTCTTTGCTCATCAGCGTAGGAAGGTTGGAGGTCACGATGTGCAGGACTTTTATTGCTGCATCGTGTTTCAGGAACGGGAGCAGACGAGAGAGAAGCTTTTTACCCTTTGAGACGGTCAGGAAAGGAAGAAACTCCACTCCTGAATCACTGCATCAGGAATTGAAAAGGTTTGGTCTTCAAACAGTTAATATTTAGCACTTGTATTAAATTTATGGCTTATGTACAACAAAAACCAAGTATTTTAGTTCAATATATTTGTTTGGTACTTTAACTCACACAGACTTGTAGTGTTGCAGCTGTGAATAGATTCGCTCCACTTTTCTCTGGGTCTTCTCCCTCAACCTCACTTCTTCTGCTTCAGACAAAACTGTGCTTTTCATCCTCTCCATTTCCTCCACCTCCAGCAAAACACCAAACAGCTGGAAGAAGGAGAAAGTAATGATACTCTGTAGGTTGTTAAAACAAGTATTAAGTATCAAGCAAGTACCTTTTCTATTTTGTTTAGAATCTCTAACCGCTGTTGTCTGGTGTCTTTTTGTTCCTGGGGAATAAATATGTAATTGTAAGAGAAATCCAGTTGTAATAATACACAAAATGGTAAAAGACCGACCTCAACCGGACTTTGAGCTTGGACTGCATGAACTGCACTGATGGCACGACGAGGAGAATAACACGTGGACACAGCAACTTGGCCTAAAGAGCCTTCAATATGCACCACTGAAAATAAAAAACACCAATTGAGGAAAATCTGCAGCAGTGCATCTTTAACAGCACGTTACCCTAACATAATGCACGTGTGCGTTTCTTCCAGAATTTGTAGTTTCTTTTAGAGACTGGCTACGCAAATGACCAACTAAATATGGTGTAGTAGCATTATAAAGGCAACGTGAAGAAAACCTGGAGTGTAGGCGTCCACTTTCGTGATGTAAGGCGTTGTGAGCTTCAGTGGCTCCTTCTTGCTCCGGATACCAAGCTCTTCCTCGGCCAACTTGGCTTCTATCCGACGATAATACTCCTGTTGGAGAGTTCAAGATGACCCAAAAACAGCTCAATGCCAAGTTTTAAACACCTCATTTATTTACATTTTGCTTCCAGGGAGACAAACGTGTTTTTAAATGGGTCAGAAGGTTTTATTTTTCAACCTTTAAGTTTATTGAAAACATGTCTCTGATTTTTGCTGCTTTGCTTTACATTTTATTTAGTTTTTGTACAATGGCTGCATGTTGTGCAGTGTTTAGTAAAACGAGAAGAGGAAAAAGACTTGATATCTACATCATGAACTGCATCCCAAAGGACGAGATGCACCGTCCATCAATATAGACTAGCTCTTTGAGAATCACCTTGTTGCTGCCAAAATACTATTTTGTTTAACTCTTATCTTTTGATATTTTTTAAAAGATTTAGTCACAGCAGAACAAAATGGGTCTTTGTGACAAACTGATGGTGAAGTGCCTCAGGATCAAATTAAACTGTCCATTTAGTGTCAACACCAACTTATCGGAGTTTAGGAGCCTTTTGATATCTTGTAGGTCAGATTTATGTGGCTCAAACAAAATCAAAATCTTTGAAAAATGGTGAAGAGCGGGACCGAAACAGTTAAAAATAAAAAAAAAGCAACCATAAGTCCAAAGATAACCTTTAACAGTAAAAAGCTTGGAATAAATAAATACTGAGCATTTTAAAATACTTCATCTTGTCAAGAGTCTGCCTTCTTAGAAGAAACATAAGAAAAATAATAAAGGATGAGACAATAGTAGTGTGTGATGTGATATAATCCTGAGAAATAATTAAATTTTCTACCTGGTAATAGTAATCCTCCAGATACGGGTTCTCACTCTGCAGCTGAATCATAAGCAGCCGGGTGATCCACTCCTTTTCTTTAATGGTCATGAGATGACAGTAAGGGTCCCAGCCCTCAGACTTTCTATAAGCAGGAATAAACTCATTCCACCAGGCACTACTGAATAAACATTTATACAAAATCATCTCTTGATGTGGTGTTGACCTTTGGAACAGCCGCTGTTTTTGGCTCAGGAGTCGTTTGTGTTGAGGATGGAGCTGCGTGACTGGACCGGGGTACCTGCTGAGCAGAGAGTTTATGCCCTCCAGCCACAAGCTTCCAAAAAATGTTTCATGCACAGACAGAAGTTTTTTTTATAAAAATACTGTGATGCCACTTGGCCTGTCAAGCTACACCACGGGCAAGAAGTTTTAAAGCATGGCTTGTCAGTCATCAAATCATTTTACTTTAAACTGGACCACAAATCAAATGTTCAGAACAATGTTCTGTTGAGTTGAAAAAGGATTAGGCCCATAAACGTAATGTCAGTGAGACGTGCAGCTCAATATGGTACAAACTTTGTAATACTTGCTTTAAATGAAAGTTTAACTGTAGAAGTTAAAAGAATCTCAACTAAAGTCACTGTGACATTATAAATACTCTAATGATCAAGACTCAAGTGAAATATACTTTGTTCTTCATTTTTGTCGACAACTCTCTCAGGTCATCCTAAAACAAGTGTGACACGCAACAACCTACCGGAAAGGCTCCACTGGGGTAGACGAAGGGCTGTAAAAGGTTGAGGGTCTTGGGGAGTTGGTACCGAAGTGAAGCTGCATTACCTTGGGAGCCAGAGGCCGAGGAGAGGAGGGACAAGGGTGGTTTGGAGGAAACCTGAAGTCCCCCGTCTGATTCAGCAGAATATATATACATACAAAACAATGTATAAGTCATAATAAATGATAAATGGAGAATTCTCCCAGTGAGATTAGGGAATAAACCTGGTTAAAATGTGGTCGTGGTGTCAGTGGCTGGCGTGAGAAGATGGGCGATCCTGGTATCATGGGTGCATGAATCTGCAAAATACATGGAAAAATTAAACTGATGTCTGAAGAGATTTAATTTTTAGTAATTTTGCATTAATAATCTCACATGTTTGAGCTTTAGATGTTATTTTAGATAGTCACTTCTGCAGTTGCATTCGGCCTAAAAAAATCCAACCTGACCCGGCCCAGCCCATTGTCATTTTTTCTGAGCCAGACCCGATAAATTAACTGTAATTACAGGCCCGAACACGAAAAAAAAAAAGACTTTTTAATTTTTTATTAAGCTTTTACTGCTTATGCAAGTAAAACATGATAGTTTTAAAAACATAAGATGTACAATTTCTTGTTGATTTAAAAAGTCACCATACAAATATTAAATATAGCTACAAAATGAATATTTAAAAAACAATCCCAAAAGAGGCTAATTTACAGATAAAAATATTTTAGAGCAAAATTTGGAAAAATATAGAACAAGGCTATTTTAATTGAATGCGCTGCTCGCGTCAGCTTTAGTTCAGATGCTGCAACTTCCTTCACCGCAGATTCAATTCAAAGTTTATATAGTGCATTTAGAAACAACCACAGCTGACCAAAGTGCTTCACAAGAATTACATCGTAGATAAAAATATGATAAAATAAAGTTTAATAAAAAGTATAATAAAATTTACAGTAAAATATCAATAAAATAATAGTACTAATAAAAACAAAGACAACTATTGCATATTTGCTGCAATTCCCCCAAAACTTGAGTCAATCAGGTACTAATGAGTGAAGGCCAGGGAGAATAGATGCATTTTCAGTCTGGACTTAAACTGATCTACTGACAGAGAGCTCAACAGACAGACGGAGGCTGATAGCAGGTGGAGCGGGATGCACGTGGCCGATGATCCGTTTCGTCCATCTGAAGCTTAACCTTTTTTATTTTTTATTTTCTCCACCTCTTTCAACCAGCTGGTAAGCAGACACGTGCGGGTGATGATCCGGTTGTCCATCTTTAACGCAACATTTTTTACATCTTTCAACCGGCCGGTCGGACCCGAGTGTACATCTGACACATAAGCAGATTTCACTGTGATGGCTTTGTAGAGCGAGTTCTCCCATTTTTAGCTTTTGTTTAATACTTTTCAGCTCCATTATGTCACTTGTTGTGGGTCACCTGCAAATCCTCAGATGTGTGACGAGAGCAAAGGGCGGGTGGGGCCACATGCGCTATTAAAACCGCATCAAAAGCCTGAGACTGACCCGGCCCGCCTATCAAGCACATAATTTTGGTCCAACCCGGCCCAAATTTCAGGTCGGGTTGGGGCTCAGGCAAAAAAAAAATTTTTATTTTAAAATTGCAGCTCTAATTTAGCTGAACTGAATTCTCCATTTCTTTCACATTTTACAGTTTTATACTTTATGAAACGTCTAAAATTAAGATGAAACTAAAAGAACCTTTTCTTCTGAAGAAAACTAATCTGCCTGAAAAATCTTGGAACTCACCAGTTAGCTTAGCAGATCTCAAAAGAATATCAGGTGCTCAATTTATGTGTTTTTGCCAGAAATGATGTTTTTGTGAGAACAACAAAACTGCTGAGTTTTAGTTTCTGGTTCAATCAAATAAAGACATAAAAATACCTCAACTCTGCATCCACAAGAGTTAAAAATTTATATTTTAAGTTTCAAATAGTCCAACTTATAATTTCATACATATCTGAGCATGATGTACTAAAATTTTACAGCAACAGTTACAGTAATGATGCTCCAAAACTAAAAGTTAATGTTTGTTATTGATGGTAATCATGTTAAAAAGTTCAAAGGAAAATGTGGTTTTAAAAGATGTATTGAAAAGGACTTTTGGATGTTCTCACGTAAATCAAATCCAACAAAACAGTTTATTTTCTTAGTCCACTACTGAAGCCATTAGGTCTCCATTTTACTTTTCCATTTAATGATACTTTTCCTCTTTTCATTATCCTTAATCACCATTTTTATTTTCACTTTATTTTTTATTTTTTTAATTTGTACGCATAATAAAAAATAAATTGCATGCATACTTTATGATCGTCTATTGTCATCCACTGTTGTCATCACCATTAAAATTCAGGTCTCTTGTCAACGAGTCCCCGAGGCTCAATATATAAAGGTATAAAAATTTATCAAGGTATAAATTTATCAAGGTATAAATAAAGGTTAAATGAATTATTGTTTTATATTCAAACACAAGTGATTTAAACCTTTGCCAAGTCATTTGTCTGTGTGTGGGGGTGTTCCTTGTAAAAGACAAGTTAAAATTTAGTATTTTCCACCTGAGGGGGAACTCTTTGATAAAAATGTCTTCTGATGAAGGATCCTCTGGGCTCTCCTCTCCTGCCTCCGAAAGGGATGGGATGTGGCAACTCCAGGAAACTGTGGTTCATGTGCTGACCTCTGCCTCTGTGACCAATCACACACACTATGGCACTGTCCTACAAATAATACAAGAACCAGTTTTAAAGTAAAGGTTTCACAAATCCATCAAGGATAACATGCCGTTTGTAACCTGAAGTACTGATCCCGAGACCCTGACGTTTTTTCTGCAAGGTGTCATCCTCTAGGAACAAAAACAGTGGAAGGAAGTCTGAGCTGCACAAAGTGGAGGACAAGTATGTGAATGTTAGCACTTACATTATTCTGAAAGGCGTTCCGGTACACGGCAGGCCCACAGTCTACTATAGCGTTGTCGAGACTCTTCAAATGCAAAAAACAACAAAGATTAAACGCAGTCACTACAAGCTGAGCCATTACTTGGAGTTGAATGAACAGTCACCATGAGGCTTGGCCGGCCCTCCACTATCCTCATCACAGCTGGGTCCTCGAACATCTGCCCCCTGTCCAGTCCTGCCCTCCGCCCCCTGCCTCTGCCGCGCTGCCATGGGGCAGCCCTGAGCAGGAACTGAGGCTTCTTTATGGGCGGTGATAAGGGGGGGCTGTGGAGAGATGGAGGATTGGGGTCTGGTATCAACGTTTCAGGCAACTGTTCTCCAAATGGACCGCTGCCAAACCCAAGAGAGTCTGTGGTGCTGTGGGGGTCGGGATCTGAGATGCAGATAAACACAGAAGGTTTCAGTTTGTTCCATTACAGCTTTTGTAGCTTAAACGACTGAATCGTGTCAAACTTTAGCCCTACAATAAAAACAAAATGGACTTCATTTTAGGTAATCCGTATCTCCACAACAAGCAGCTGTGACTTGATTCCAGTCTTTTTCCATTAGTGAAATTTCAGGGTCCAATATGGAATCAGTTTAATGCATTTTCATTCATTAAAAATAAAAAAGGCTAGAAAAAAAATAATGCAAAAAATAAAAAGTGTGCATGAAATTCAAAATAGTGCAGCCTTTTTGACCATCTGTATTTGAACAGCTAAAATGTATGTTAGCATTGTAATGGCATTATTACTACTACTACTATTAGTAGTATTAGTAATGATACTGAAAAGTACCTGTTCTTGAACAGACGATGGAGAGGAGCTCAGGTGAGGAGGGGGCGGGATCCCTCATCATAAGACATGGTATGGACCTGACAACATATCATGTATGGTGTACATCACTATACACAGCTGTATGTGATGACTTCACTGCTGTTCATAATTGAACGGCTCTTTGAAGTGAATAGATCTTCAGTAACGGGTTCCTTCAAAGAGCTATAAAGCCCTCTCTCCTGTTTAGAATGAAGGGGCAGCTGGAGAGCATAACATTAAAATTTAAGCATTTATGGCCAAGATGTCAGAATAATTTTCCTTAACTGTGCAAAGGTAGCCAGACAAAGTAAGTATGAACGCAAAGGTGAAGCACATTGTTTTCATTTCTTCATTTTCAGACTACATACCAGTGAAATTCAAACCCATGTCTCTCAGGTCATAGGAAAGAACTTTCCCAGTGCACCATGCAGTTAGTATGACGGATGCATATCGCTTGTTGTGTAGAGTTACTGAAAGCTGATGCAAAGGTGTTCTTAATTACTCACCGACTCAAAGTCATTGAGTGTTCATTGCTTGAATCAGCACCATGGAAACAGAGGCAGAAGATGAGAAAATGGTTAAAGAGCATCTTAGCCTGGTATTAAAGGAGCATGTTAAATTGGGCGCAATAGTTCAAGTGTTGGTTTCTAATAGAGTCTGTAGTCCAACTGAAAGGCACAGCTGTCACCATGCTGATTAGGTCAGGCATGTTAGGCAGACTTTACAACGTGGAAAAAAACTGAGGTGGTCCACAATGCATCTGCCTGTTCCAGACATTGGCCACAACTCTTGGGGACCACATGGTGGAACTTCGTCCATTCATCTCTCTTTTACCAGCTTCTTCCTTTTCGGGTCACAGGGGTCATTGGTACCCATATTCAGCAGTTACTGTGAGAGGCAGGGGACACCCTGGACAGGCCGCAAGTCCATCACAGGGCCCCACACAAGAGAAACAAGACAACCATTCACACCTAGGGACAATTTAGAGTTACCAATTAGCCCAACATGAATGCATGGAGAGAATATGCAAACTCCACCCAGAATGGCCCCCCGGACGGGATTCTATCCGGCAACCTGCTTGTTGAGAGGCAGCAGCTCTACCAACTGTGCCACATAATAGTATTAATAGTAGTGTAATTACTACCAATAGTACTAATGGCGGTAGCTCTAGTCTAAAAGCACTTGCTCGTTTGATTTACATCTGTTATATAAAATGCTAAATCGAGGTTGTAATGCGTTTGCACTGAAGCAGGCTCATTAGCATAAAATTTAGACTTCATTTACTTGTATAAGTATGAAAGATCAACTTATAGTTCCATAATCACTGGGATTTGTAGATTGACAAATGGAGTCTAGTCACTTTGCCACTGATAAGTGTGACTCCACTCAGCTCTCATCTTATCGGTTCTTCTCAGGTGCAGGTGATTTGCCACTGTGACTCGTTTCCCCGCTCTGAGCGTGATTGTCAATGCAAAGTGGGCGGTATCGTAACAGGTCATTGCGTTTGAGCCACTCTGCTCACTGTGATCCTTAAATCGGCCTATAATCGGACTTCAATTTCTTTAGCTTATCCCGGCACTGCTCCTAAGTCCTGGTGTAGCCATGCTGTGCAATCATCTCTGATATCTCTTGGTAAACACGTCGTTTTAATTTTTTTATTGTGGCACTGTCCATCAAGATGATTAGGAAGCGTAGGTTCAGATGTAGTGTGCAGTTTTGCTGAGAGAGTCATTCAGTGATGTAGCTCTGCTGGCCAAACAACGGCTGCTGTCTGCTTATGCCAGAATTTGCACCTTGGAGAAGTCCACGTCGAACCTCAAACAAGGTGGTCCCATAAACCGGACTGAGTGAGGGTGGGTACTTTCAGTGGTCAGGCTCTTAAAATGGTGCAGTGTAGAACCGATGAGTTGAGACAGTGGCATAGTGTGCAAAACTACCATTAAAAAGTTTGTCAGTAGGGGTAGTTTTGTTGGCCCAAATCCAAGCAGCTGAAATTTTCCCATGTATCTAATGGAGCTTAAATAAAAACTAACATGTCAAAAACCAATTACAGCACAAGCCTCAAAAGACAGCTATCATCTCCTAAATGCTCTTAATTATTAGATGTTTGAATGGTTGCAAAAAGTTCAATAGGAGTACTTTGGCAGCAAAGAAAATTCAAAAGGCATAGGAGGGAAAAATAGAAAGATCTCAATGTACGTTTCATGAACACTAGAACATTCATCCTTCCATCTTCCACTTGTTCCAAAGCCAACAGGCAGCAGCTTGAGCAGGGAGGCCCAGACATCTCTTTCCACAGCCACCTCTTCCAGCTCTTCTGGGAGAAACCCAAGGTGTTCCCAGGCCAACTGAGAGCCAATCTCTCCAGCGTGTCTTCCCAAGGCCTCCTCCCAGTCAGACATGCACGAAGCATCCTTACCAGATTCCCAAACCACCTACGCTCCCCTCTCTGCTGCTTTTGAATGAGGCTCACAGCCATTGGCTGAGCTCACGCTCACTCCACAGCTCACCGCTTTGTGATTGGTTCCTTATTCAGTTGCTCCTGTATGATTGGCTGGGGCACAGCTGCTGCTGGAGCTCAGTTACGGAGTTAAGCCCCCAGTATACTCCCGCGTACATCAGTCCACATGCACCAGGTTAAGAGTCGAAGCGGACGCCTTTAGGGCATGTCCACGCAAAGCTCATTTTTACAACTGCGTACGCGTACTCTGTCACACAATAAACTGCCTGGCGACTGTTTTGTATGTGACACCATTGTATTAAATTCCCATTCTTAAGCCCCGATTTGGTTTAATGGCCTTTTCTTTTTTTTGCCAAAAGGTAAGCAATCTCCTTCTCCGTTGATGCCATGACTGAAATGATGAGAAATCAGGTCCAGCTTGGCTGTAGGAGGGTCTGGAGATTTCCTGGTGGGCTGGTCTGATGCGTGGGCTGCAGGACCAGCGCTCCTTGTTATAATTTTGTTTTGTTTTTTTAGAACTTTTTATTAACAACATATAAACACAGAACATTGCTGCAGCTGGGGCTGCCAGCTCTTTTTTTTTTTTTCCTCGATGTCATCAATCCAGTAGGCGTGTCAGCAAATGACCAATTGGCTCTCTCAATTTGTCCCGAAGGTAAACGCCCCTTTTGTCTGAGGAGCTGCTCTGCAGCCACTCAGGGTGGACTCTCGAGCATGAAGTCTGAACCCTCTGCGGACCGAGCGCACAGTTTCCGCGCGGCTGACAGGACGCGGGTGTATGCTGGAGTCTTTATTTAACGTGTTTAGCAGTCAGCACACGATCATCATGCATTTGTGTAGTTACTTTAAACATCTGCTGTTTGGAAATTACATGAGTTTTCACACACCTCCGGTTTATAATATTTTAAAAATATATGAAACAGCACAGTGGTGCAACTGTTGAGTTGCTGCCTCTCAGTGAGCAGGTCCCCGGTTCAAATCCCGGTCCTGAGACCTTTCTGGGAGGAGTTTGTATGTTCTCTCTGTGCATGCGTGGGTTTTCACTGGGTACTCCGGTTTCCTCCCACAGACCAAAAACATGCATGTTAGGCTGATTGGTAACTCTAAATTGTCCCTAGGTGTGAGTGAGAGTGAATGGTTGTCTCATTTGTCTCTGTGTCCCTGTGATAGACTTGAGACCCGTCCAGGGTGTACCCCACCACTCGCAGTGATTGCTGGACATTGGCACCGGCGACCCCCGTGACCCAAAAATGGAAGAAGTGGGTAAGGGTGCATTCACACCAGCCCTGTTTAGTCTGCTTTCATCGAACTCTAGCTCGTTTTCCTAGAAAGTCCTGCTCGTTTAGGGAGGTGTGAACGCGCCATCGAACTCTGTCACGGAACAAAAAGGCAAACTCTGGCCCGGGCTAAAACCTAGGTCTCGGTCCGGTAGAAGCGAACTCCAGCGCGGTTCGAGCGCAGTGTGAATGTAAACAGACCGGGCCCCGCTCCGCAGGGTAAACAAACACGCATTGCTCTGTCAGCTGCCTTGTGTGAAAAACAATATTCTCCATGGTCTTCTGTCTCATCTTCTGCTCATGCTAAGTCTATTTTTGAAAAATGACAAAATATAACTCCTAAAACTTGATGCCACTTTGTTTTTATTTTTATTTACAGAAGAAGACGACGTGTCTTCAGAGGTTTTTGTGTCGTTTCTTTCAGTAGTTCTTGGTGCAGCGCCCCCACAGGCGAGCGGGGGAACAGGTTGGTTCAACAAGTTGACTCAACTGCACAGTGCAGTGTGAATGCAAACGCACCAGCTCAAATGTAAACAAAAGGTCATGAATATTGGTCTCGAACAGAGTCTACCGGACTATCTGGTGTGAAAACGACCTAAAAGATAATGGATGGATGAAATATTGTTTCTATAATGGATTAAAAATGGTAAACACAAATATTCAAATGATTTAAGCTTTTTTTGTTTAAAAGTGCCAGCTGATGGCCAAGACTACAAATGTGTGATGATTTGAAGACTTGGTGGAATATATCCATACTGATTGCTCATATCTCATTTAAAATGGTAGTTTGGAAACTTTAATGTGTGTTTCTGCAAAAGGTTTATGAACTATTAATATCTTCATCATGAGGGATTTTTTTCCTTTCCACTGTTGCCTTTATGCTCGTTCACTCAGGATGAGAGTGCGGCAAATTTGAAGACTCAAAGCAGTCTGCTCCTCAGATAATGTTAACTTAATTTTATGTATATGAATGTTTCTGTTCAGTGTCCTGAGATGATTTCTGTTGTGACTTGGCACTATATAAATAAACTGAATTGAAATGAAGTAATCCTGTCTAATATTCAATTCTGTTAGTTTATAAAGCGCCAATTCACAACAAACCTCATTTAGGGACACGGCACAAAAAATACACACATACATTGTAAAGTCATCCAAGGAAGGCAGCAGATTAAGTCAAATCTTTAATTCCAATTTTCGAGCAGCACATTGGTGACAGTGGAAAGCAATGACTCCCTTTCAACAGAGAAACCTCCAACAGAGCCAAGCTCAGAATAGGTTGCCATCTGCTGACAATTTAAGCATTATTGGTTTTAGGTTTGGAAGCAGCAATTTTATGAAGTTACTCTGGTGGCAGCTCAGGTGTAACCCAAAGCAATCTTAAATTCTAATCTCAGAGTTGTGGCTGCTGAGACAAATTAATGGAATTAAAATAATATATATATACACAAACATTTGTGTACACATCTTGTGAAAGCTGCATTCCTGGCCGTACTCACCTCAGCAGCTGCCCTCAGATTTATGAATAAAGCCAATGAAATACACTTAAATATTAAGAGACTGGATCAAACCGGTCCATCTTCATTTTATCATTGACAGTTTTTAGACTGACATTTGCAGGACTGGTGGTCTGTCGCCTCTCGTCACTGAGCTCCTCTCCATAATATGAAAATCCACAAAGTAAGTGATTTTGACAGAACAAACGATAATCACATGAATTGCGTTTACAAAAGCAAAATATTTTACTGTTGTAAATTTTAATTTTCATTATGACAGGAAAGGGCATTACTGTACGTGTCCAACCCTACCATCTGCATTTTCAATCAAATCCATCCAGTGGTTTGAAATATTTTGCCAACAGAGTTAACTCCAACAGTTAATGGCAAGGTTTTAAAAACAGAGCTCGTGACCAGATAAGAGCTCACAGACTGTGTCAGGGCAAAGACTCAAGTACACATTAAACTTTAGCTTAGCATTTATAAAACTATAGGCTGCCTCCAAAATTAACCAGCTCATCCTAATAATTTCTGGGCGATTCATTAAAATCCATCCAGACGTTCATGAGCTATTTTGCTAAACAAGCAAATAATGTTGCCTCTGGCTTTAAGCAACAAAAATATGAGCACAATATGCAGACTGGAGTCAACCTCTTGTGTATTTGTAGGCAGAATGTTGGTGCATCAGCTCTTCAGCTGAGCTTCAGATACATTCGTTGTTCTCAACAGCACCAACAGAAGGGAACATCTACACACCCAACCCAAAGGTCTCCTCGTTGTAGACGTTTATGTCCTCGTCCTCCTCAGCCATGGCCTGCAGGAGCTGACAGTCCATGCTGCTCTCATTCTCTGCATCACTCCACTCCTCTCCATTCTCAGGCCACGCATTCTCACAAACATTTTCCTGACAAGATAGTGAAAACACAAAGCGCTCAAATAATGCTGTAAAAGCCACGTGCACCCGTTTACTTTCGTCAAGTGAACGCCTCACGACCTCCTTTGCTTTGACTTGTGACATTTTGCTAAATTCACCAGGTATTTCACGCGTTAGAAACGTTATAACTTACTTGCTGCTGTTCTGAATCACTCATCGTGTGTTTTGGGAAATGTTTATTACACTTGAGCCACGCGCACACGGTGACTTTTCGTGTGAAACTACCTGCTTTCTCCAGCCACACCGCTGAGACGCTCATCAACTACTAATTGAACACACCTGTGAGGCGCGGGGGGCGTGGCCGTCGTGACGTCACCATGAAAGAATTTTGTCTCTAAAATCGTTCATGACCTCAGATTAAACAGCTGTCTCTTCAAATAAACGTGTTCAGCGTCGCGGGCAACAACTGCTTAGCTAAGAGTGACCTCTGGTGACCAAAGACTTTCTCACAACTTTCTGCAAGTTTTGACGGTTTGGGACAGTGGCGATTTTAGCCTCATTTTGGGGGTGCCCAAGCACCCTTAAATTTTAACCCAGCACCCCTGAAAAATAAAGTAAAAAATATATATCTATATATATATATATTAAAAATTTTTTTTTTTTTTTTT